CCAAATGGCTCGTACGTTCACTGGCCACCGGAACAGTGAACCAAGCATCCTGTACGCTCACCGGCCACCTCCAATTGGCCCGCGCATTCACCAGTCAGTTCCAAGTAGTCCGTGTACTCATCGGCCACCATAACAGCAAACTAAGTGGCCTGCATGCCCGTCGGCCATCGTCAAGAGATCCGCGCGTTCACGAAACATACGAAGCGAATGAAGGAGATGAAGAGGGCGAGGTGCTGTCAAGATTAAGAGTGGAGCCACGGATTTCAGAGGGTTATCAGATCTTGGCAAAGTTTCTCTATAAACAAAAAGAGAGTTCGAGAGATCTGAACCCCTTTCCCCCATATTCCTTCGGATTTAAGCTTGGTCTTAAATCCCGAGAAGAGTCGTAATCTCGCTTGGTCGGGATTACCATTTTAGCGAATACTTCCTTCATGAAGTAGGAGCTTTGACTTTCAATCTGCCAACCGGATTTGATCCGCGACGGTCCATGGAGATCAATGTCCCCGACACAGGCAAAGATCCACACAAACAACAGACGATAAACATTTGTTGTGTGTTGTTTGAAGGAATTGTAATCCTATATTTTCGTTGTGTAAGAAGATCTTATAAAAAGATCGACTTTTTATTTATTTGAGTTTATTGTAATGGCTAAAGTTGTAATAGATTCGATGATAATGAAAATAGCAATTTCTGACCCAAACAGTGACTAGCAGTCATGGGACTAGCAGTCTCGTGAAATCTCAGGTTTGGCTATTTTTTAGTTGTTGATGTTAATAATCAAATAGATAATATGATGAGTGTGGGGTTGATTAAGGGCCGCTAACTTTTTCGAATATCTGGTTTTGAGTTGTGTAGCTTCAGTCTGCACAAATAGCAATTCGTGAGAGGACAGGGGCTTGTTCCCCTGTTGTTCCTCTGACGATCAAGTCAGTGAATGGACTTAAGTGGGAAAGTAATAAACTGTGTGAGTTCTAAAGTGCAGTACAGTGGAATTATGAGAGATTGCTTGCTTACCCTGGTATTTGGAATAATACATCTTTTTATAGTGGTGGGGAAAGGGTAGAACGGTAATCTCAGCAAAGTACAGGATGACGACAAACGAGTATGTGGTGACAGCTACATCAGCACATACTTTACAGGTGTCGGCCGACGAGTGGAGGAGAGGTCACCTTATCATTTAAGGGGAAGTGATCGGAGGCATGACGGTGCCGATGTGGTCTGATGAGTCATGAAGACTATCGGGACTAGGGGAATGATGATGTCTGCCAAGCATTTAATGCGATGCTGACGCATTGTCAGTGGGGGAGGCTTGAGGTTAAAGTCATCCTTTGGCTTGGCCGAGAAGTAGCACCTTTCGAGTCGATCCCGCATAGTGTGGAATAATTGGTCGAGTGAGCTCGTAGCGAGTCATCTTTGACTAGAGGATTGACAAGTACGTCTTCGACTAGAGGATTAACAAGTACCGCCTCTCGAGTCGTTCTAAGGAGATGTCAACTCAGTGAGTCAGCTAACTCGGGATTCTTGGTGGTCCTGATGTCAATCTGATTTGAGCGGTGCATGTAGGAGGACACCTATCCGTTGCTGGTAAAGGACCATACTTTAGCGACTAGAACACCATAATAATAGTGATAATTTTCATAAAAAAGTCACTCAACCTCACAATTATTGATATTAGTCAGTTGATTAATAATTACTTATAGTTAGTTCCTCAAATCCTTTAAAAATTTTAAAATTACTTCATCAAACTTAATATTAGTTTATCAAATCTTTAGATGTTTGGAATTACCCCCTTAAATGTCCATAATTACTTGAAATTAGTAAGTAAAATTTCTAGATGTTTTGCAAATTACCCCCTTAAATATTTAATCACTTTCAATTTCCTATCTCAAATGTTCATATTTAGAATTAGTCTATCAGATGAGTTCATAAAACTTAAAATTAGTCTCTCGAATAGTTGAAGATTTGGAATTACTCCCTTAAATCTTCATAAATAGTCTCTCAAATCTTTATAAATTTTCCAAATTACTACCTTATATTTAAAATTATACCATCAATTCGTTAAATGTTTTCTGGAATAGTTAAAGATTTGGAATTACTCCCTTAAAGCTTCATAAATAGTCTCTCAAATCTTTATAAAATTTCCAAATTACTACCTTATATTTAAAATTATACCCTCAATTCAATTCGTTAAATGTTTTCTCGAATAGTTAAAGATTTGGAATTACTCCTTTAAACCTTCATAAATAGTCCCTCAAATCTTCATAAATTTTGCAAATTACTACCTTATATTTAAAACTATACACTCAATTCGTTAAATGTTTTAAAATTCCTCTCTCAAGTGATCATATTTTGAAATTAGTTTTGTCTTATTTGGGTGGTAAGCACACCATGGTGACCGCAACCATGGTTTCTTCTATTTTTTAGTTGAAGGCAAACATTAGAAAATAAGGGAATCAAGTCACACTTCAAAGACTTTCTTGTCTTTTCAATCCGAACCAAGCTAAAGAAAGTGATAGAAAGTAATTATGCCCCATGTTTTTTGACGAAACAAACACGAGAAACACTCTTCCAAAAATGTGAGGGAAACACCAAATAGTGAAGAAAAGTAGGTACTGAAAAATGAAGGAAAGTAACCAAATAGCCCCTAGGAGGAATTAAAGAGAGAAGGGGGTACTATTCTTATTGGCCATGAATTTTTTAGGCGTAAATGTTAGGCGTCGGTTTTCAAGATATTTACAAAAGTGTCAGTAGAAAGTGGAATATTTTTCAGTTAGACATTAGATTGATAGTGAGAGGGAAATGATCGGAAATATTTACAACCGATGCCATCGGTGGTCGGGAAATTTGTTTTCGGAGCACCGAAGCTGTCGCCATAATAATACTAATAATTACATCTAAAATCAAGCACATAAATCCTAACCACTCATTAATTTAACATGAGCTACAATGCACACATTTTAACGTTCCATTTTAAAAGCGCACGGGCAATCCAAATTCCACCGGAGAAGGTCCAACAAGTCCACACTCCCCCTTTATATCCTCCACCCCCCCTCTCTCCCTCCCTTTCTCTTCATCCTCCCAACACCAAAAAAGGAAGGAAAAGAAGGAAAAAAAAAGAAAAGAAAAGAAAAGAAACTAAACCAAGCTATGGTCCACCGCCACCCCCCTCTTCCCGATCACACAAAAAAACCCGATGCAGCACCGACGCTGGTCTTCGACGCGGGGCTCCTCAGCGAGCAGCCCGACATACCAACCCAATTCGTTTGGCCCGAAGAGGATAAGCCCGCGGCCGACGACGCAGCCGACCTGCTCGTCGAGGCCCACGACTGCGTGCAGTCCTTCTTTTCGATGCCGCTCTGCGAGAAGCAGAGGGCTCAGCGAAAGCCGGGGGAGAGCTGCGGGTACGCTAGCAGCTTCACGGGGAGGTTCTCTTCGAAGCTCCCGTGGAAGGAAACGCTCTCCTTCCGCTTCTCCTCCTCGACGTCGGACATCGTGGTGTTGAACTACTTCATCCGAACGCTGGGAGAAGATTTCGGACGTTTCGGGTAATTACACGTAGCAGATAACGGGACGCGGCCCGGTGTAGGTAGGGAATAAGCTAGCTAGCGTGGTCGAACTGGTGGGCTGACGGTTATGTGTTTATTTATTTCGCAGGAAGGTGTACCAGGAGTACTGCGAGGCGATGAGCGGGCTGTCTCTGGTGATAATGGAGGTGCTAGGATTGAGCTTGGGCGTGGACAGGAGGCACTTCAGGGAGTTCTTCGAGGGGAACGACTCGATAATGAGGCTGAACTATTACCCGCCATGCAAGAAGCCTGAGCTCACCCTCGGCACCGGGCCTCACTGCGACCCGACGTCGCTGACCATCCTCCACCAGGACGACGTTGGTGGCCTTCAGGTGTTCACCGGAGGCAAATGGCGCGGCATTAGGCCCAGAATGGACTCTTTTGTCGTCAACATAGGGGACACTTTCATGGTAATTAAGTATCATAATACTATCCTGCAACTTGAACGTCCTCTCTATATGTAACACGGCATCGCTCTCGAGTCCAAATAAAAGATTTGAGCCTAGATCGTTCGGATACCATCTTTTGAAGTCCTTTTCAAGGTTTTATTTAAAAAAAAAACAGTCAAATCTTTCGAAAGTTGAGCCGTGTCGTGCGACCACTCAAAAAGTGAGTCCGGACTAATTCAGCCCAGTTCTGTTCTGATGAGCTAGGTGAGGAACAAAGAGGACTCGCTTTTAATTAAGGGTCACTTGACCCACCCCCCCACTTTTTCCGAGCACAATTTCCCTCGAGATGAGATGAGTCGGGGTTGATTCTGGTCTAAATTTTAAGATCAGGCCTCGTCGAACTGATCAATCCGAGGGTCTTGAGAGATATTATTGCTCTAGCTAGATTCCTTCTAACTTTATGTCCTTCAAACCTATAAATAAATAAATAAATAAATAAATAAATATATAAACATGACTATTTTGCTAATTGACCGGATCAAATCATTAATTGCAGGCACTATCAAATGGGAGGTACAAGAGTTGCCTGCACAGAGCCGTGGTAAATAGCCAGAAGGCGAGGAAATCATTGGCTTTCTTCCTCTGCCCGTTGATGGACAAAGTTGTCCGGCCACCAAGAGAGCTCGTCGACAGGTCTCATCCGAGAGCGTACCCTGATTTCACTTGGTCGGCGTTGCTCGAGTTTACGCAGAAGCGTTACAGGGCGGACATGAAGACCCTTGATGCTTTCTCACAATACATCCTCCAAAGTGCTGATCAGGGGACTCGATGAACAGGCTCGAGCTGCTGTTGTTGATTAATCTTAGGTTTCTCTTTTTGTTTTTTGTTTTCTTCTTTCTCTAATTCTAACCGGCTCTGTTGTGAGGAAAATAACAGGCCATAATAAATCAGACAAAGTTAAAAGCAAGCGAAAAGAATTAGAAACTGATCGATCGTCGTAACAGTTCTCAGTAGCTGCTATGTTAATTCCGTTATAAGTTATCCACGTACCTCTAAATGCAGGATAAATGCCAGAATGTTGGAGTTCTGTTTGCTTTGTTAATTCCGGCTCTCTCATTTGACATCTAGACATACAGCCTTTTTTAAGAACAGAAATAAGAAAAATTACAGAAATTTTTTTCTATCAATAAATATTTTCAACAAGAGAATACTATTTATTAACTCTAATAGTAATAAAAAAATCTCCCAGTATATTTTCATTAAAATTTCCCATGCACGATTATAAAAATTTTTGTTTGAAAACGTTACGGCTGAAGAGTTGACAGACGATGGACCGAGCTAATCTATTTGAACCCAACTGACTTAAAATGATTAATCGTATTTGAGTTATGAATCTACGCATATTTAATCATTTGTCTATCTTGCTCTTAATTTATCTGATGCCGGGGTTAAATCCCATCCCATGTGTTTCGTAACGAACTTTCACCCAAACCGAAAGGGACATAAGAAGCACTATACACAAAATATCTTCAATTATTTAAACCACAACAGATTAAAGAATTTTTTTTATTAGCCTTGGTAGATAAATAGTGCTGACTTTGATTTGATTTAGATAAAAGGGTATTTTGGGTATATATAATTTAAATCTGACAAGTAATAGATAGAGATGGACAAAGAGAGGAAAAAAGGGGAGCACTTGATATCCAAAAGAACAGGGCTGAGCTACATAAACACACAGGTGGATGCACAAACTCTAGCTAGCCTGAGTCTATGTAGTTCGATTTTTACAATATCTCGCTTGTCACATGTAGCTCGCGCCACAAGGCCCTTTGCAATTGGCTTGATATCTCTCAAGAGAAATTCTTCTTTCCCTCTCTCATCCTATCTAGTTCTAGTAGCTAGAGTTAGTGACCATAGAAAAAGACATCATTAATGTATGTATAATATATACAAGTATATAAAGTTTTAAAGAATTCAGTAGAATCCAAGAAAGAGCCATGACTAGAGATAGAGAGAGAGATGAGTGGGAAGTAGAATAATTGCAGGAGGGATATTGTCCTAATATATGTCCACAAACATAGCAACATTCTTTGGAGAGGTTTTTTTAATATATTAAAAAAAGGAGGGGGGGGGGGGGGGGGGAGGTTATGGGAGGATGAGCGTTAATTAGGTGGGAGGGGCCGCCGAGGAGCAAACGGAGGGTTTGGAGGCAGCCGCAAGGCTAAGGACAGGGGTGCGAGCTCGTCCGAAGCGTGGGTCGCGTCACACATACGCAGCGAGAGTTTTGTTTTATTTATCCGCAGCGTTGCGAGGAGAGGAGGAGGAAAAACGGACACCCACAGTCTTGTTCTTTGTCCTCTCTCTCGCCCCCCCCGCCCCCCGCCCCCCCCCAAGCTCCAGTGGGATCCCTGTCCTCTTCCTCTCCTTAATTAGCCTAGGTCGCGGCTTTCATTTTTCATTTTTCCCCTTTCATTTTTATAATTTGTTTTCTTAATAGAGGTTTGAGTGCAATTTTCAAAATGGAGACAGTTTTGAGTCCTTTTGACCCATCTCTTCGCTTTATGAAAGCATCTACCAGTGTTTTTTTTTTTTTTTTTTTTTTTTTTTTTTGTGAGGCGTTGAGTTGAGCCCAATGAAACAGTACGTGCGCCAAAATGCACATCTAAACAATCCTGTACAGTCTATTTGACAACTTTCTTGCTGAGCAGGTTAAGGGTCAAAACCATTTTCAGAATAAAAATTTGGTTTTGTAAATATTCAGCTGGCATTGTACTCTTTTTCAGATTAAGATTGGACCCTTGTACCAATTTGGTTGTGGACCAGGAGAGATGTGATACATAAATGAGTTGGTTTAAGGCAAAATCCTGTTTAAAAAGGAGTTGCAGCTGAACCTAGGGTTGTCCATCCCGGCCGGCCCAGCCCGGCTTGGCCCGAGCAAAATCGGACCTGGCCCGGGCAAAACCGAAGCCCGGACCCGGACCCGGGCCCGAGCAGCCCGGACCCGGGCCCGAGCAGCCCGGACCCGGGCCCGGGCCCGGGCCCCGGGCCCGAGCAGCCCGGGCTCCCCGGTTTTTTTGTTTTTTTATTTTTTTTTTAAATTTTAAAAAATCTCCATAAATCATAAAATATACAGAAAATGACATAAATTTTTTAACTAACTTAAAATGACATAAATTACAAGTACAAAAAATTATAAAAATAAAAGATGATAAAAATAACTTCTTTATTAATAATCAGTAAATCCTTTATAAGTATAAATTTATTTCAGAATTTATCGCATCACAATAGATGGGTACATCCCAACTAGGTTGGCACCTACTCACCTATATCACTATCATTTGTAACTTTTTCTAAAATAATTATCCCAACTAGGTTGGCACCTACTCACCTATATCACTATCATTTGTAACTTTTTCTAAAATAATTCATTATAAATTTAAAGCTAAGAAATAAAAATTACAATTTGATGAATATTATCTAATCTTTATACCTATCTGCTAGTCTCAACTTTTCAAATTTATCTTTAATTCTAGTCATCTGATCAATGCCTTGCGTTCGCTTCTCGTACCTCCACCAATCTTGTAAGCACATCACCGCTTGTACAGTATACGGATCTAAGCATGTCATGTGGTCGTCGATTAAACGTCTTGCTGTGCTGAAGGCGGATTCCGAAGCTACCGTCGAAACCTGTACTGTTAGTAAGTCACGAACCATGGTGGAAAGTATAGGATATGAAACTGATCCATATACTCTCCATCATTGTAAAATATCTAAAGCATTTTCTTGACATTTAACTAAGAAAGCAGATAAATATTCATCTATTTTAGAAACCTCTAATGCTGATCCAAGTCCAGATCCACCAGTTAGTTCAGCTACCATTGCATACCTATCAAAACTTGTACTTTTATCTCGGCCTGTGCTTAAAGGCGTCGAAGCTGTAGACTGTTGTGCAGCTACACCATGTCTACCTACATACTCATTATATAATGTTTGAAAATAATTTTTAATAGCTAAATGATGAGAAGTAGCAGTAAGGGTGGATCCATCATCTAAGTCTATAATCTGTCCACTATATAATGATTGTAACAAACTTTGAAGGTCAATATCCTTCAAACATGGATCAATAAGAATCCTCAAACCAAAAATATGAGGAATAGGCCTAAAATACTTATTAAATTTGCTTTTTATTTGAAAATTATAGATCCAAAAGTATCATCCATATGATATTTTGAAAAAAACTTTTGAATATTTAAAATTTGTAAAGTAGCTAAAGTAATTGTTGGATAATAACTGCTAGATAATAACATTGTAGTATCATAAAAGACTTGTAACATTTCATTTAAATTATATATAATTATCCATTCATTTTCAGTTATTCCATAACTACTACCAGAGCTAGAACTAGAAGCATAAAAATTTATAAAATCATTTATAATTTCTTTATAGTCTATTGCTACACTTAACATTGTATAGGTGAAATTCCACCTATGGTCAATATCTTTTGGAATTAGTCTGGGCTTATAATTTTTTCTTTTACAACATTACTTCCATCGTTTAATTTTTATTTCAAAAGCATTATAATTTTTTCTTTTACAACATTACTTCCATCTTTTAATTTTTATTTCAAAAGCATTATGCATATTAGCAACTGTTCTAATCTTTTCTATTATGGGTTTAATTTTAAAAAATACACTTTGAACAATTAAATTTAAAATATGACAGATACATCTAATATGAAAAAGTTCACAATGATATGGTAATGACAGAGTTCTTTTGATAAAATCAACAACTACATTATTATTACTTGCATAATCTAGGAAAAGAGAAAATATTCTTTGATCAATTTTTAGTTTTATAAGTTCTTCAATTATTAAATTTGCAACACTAATACCAGTATGTGACTCTTCAATTGTAATAAAAGAAACAACACTTTTAAACATTTGCTAATTTTTATCAATCCAGTGTGTTGTGATACATAAATAACCAGTTTGCACTCTAGATGTTTAAATATCAGAAGTTAAAGAAAATTTACAGTTTAAATTTTTAAAATAAGAAATTATTTTCCTTGTTCCTCATGATAAAATTTTAAAATATCATGTTGATAGGTTTGACGAGAAAATTTGGTAAATGCAGGATAAAAACCATCTCTAAACAAATCTTCAAATTCATCATCTTTTACTAATCTAAAAGGAAGGTTTTTAAGAACGATAAGCCTGATTACGCATTTTCTGGCTCGGGTAGTGTCATAACTCCAACTACAGAGACCACCAGAGGAGAAGGATTGAGAAATCATAAATTATCGGATATCACCTTAATGATTCTGGCCTTTGTTGTGTTTTTCAATATGGCGTTTGAGGTGGTTGGTGCCACTCTTATGATGAGCTTTGAAAATCTGGCCGCACAACGCACATTTAGCCTTCTGGGTGATGATCCTACCGTGTTCATCCTTGGTGACGTCTATCTTCTCAAAAAATTCCACACATCGGATCTCGACCTTTTAGGAGCTCTTGGTGCAGATTCGTCGCCACCAGATTCAGGATTAACACACGTAGGAGTAGTTGATGTAGGAGGACTTATTTCTGGATCAGTAGGAGATAGTTTTTGCTCTTCATATTCAAATCCAGAAGCCATTTGATGGAAGTATTAGAAAATATAAGGGATTATAAGAGAATATAATATTATATAAGAGAGTATTAGAGAGAAGTAGAAGAGTTTTGGTGTGAGGAGAAGAAGTAAAAACCCTCATCTATTTATAGAGGAAGCCCCCTAAGCAAATAACCAAAAAACCCTCATATTTTGACCATTTTTTGACCATTGTTGGGGGAAAACGGTGGAAACCCGTTTAGTTTGGCCGTTATGAACTAGCCGGATGCAGCCACCCAGCCCGGCCGATCAAAACAGTCCAGCAGTCACCTTAGGTGGACCGTTGGGACCAGGGCGGCTCTGGCTCGTTTACCACAAACGGTCCCCTCTGTGACCGATTTCATCCGACTCGGGTCCGAGCCCCGGCTTGCCGATCTGTGCCGCCCCCGGCACTGT